CTAACATAAACGAACTTAAAGAATTTTGTCGGACATCACGTGATGGTAAAAATTTTGTTGGCGATACTGGGGAAGATCAAATAACCAGTGAAATTAACAGTAATAAAAAGAACGAAATATATTTTTTTAAACATGTATATTTTCCTAAAAGCCTATTTCATTTTCTTTAATGTAAAGAGGACAATACAAACTTAAAGGACATATGTGAGAATCAAACTATTGAGAAATTATTATACATACGCCCTCAATTAAGTTTAAGTTTTTTGTTTTCACATGTCACATATAACTAAAAATTCATGATTTGGCGATCAAGGCCAATTTGTAAAATGAACAAAAAAAAAAATAAATAAAAATAAAAAAATAAAGGTCATATCGACATATAAATTTACTATTAAAAATAAATCATCTTTATTCAACTTAAATTACGAGTGAACAATTTGGCATAAATCGTAATGCCAAACAAATCCAAAGTAAATTTAAATAATCTATATTAAACTCTAAACTCTTTAAAAAAATTCAATTACTGTAATAATCTTTAAAAAAAATTATTGATTATACTTGCTACTTTAAAAAGGCACATAACCGCAAGGTGGAATTCTAATGATCTTCCATTTTTCTTCATATTTCTCCCAATTTTTCCATTCAATTTCTTTCAACAATTCAATCTTTAATTTCAAAGCTTTCTCGTAATCTTTAATATTATCATTACCCAATCCAGTTTCTCCAAGCCATTTTCCAAGTGCCTTAAGGGCATTTCCATATCGTTTTTCTCGTCTTTCACGTATAAGATAAATTAGTAACTGCTTAAAGTCTGCTACAGGTGGTACAGAATCCAACCATTGAGCAAGTTGCTTCCAAGTTTCTTCAAGCTGCGTTGATAAATTATCGCTTGACGAACTAGTTGACGCAAGAACAGCCAAAGCTTGGATTTTAGATCCTAAAGCTAATATGACAGCTTTCTTCTTATCGTCATTCTCTTTTTTCTTCTTTTTTGCGGCATCATTAAGACTTGTATCTTGTTTAACTCCATAATATTGTGCCAATTCTACTGAATCAATCTTTTTTAATAATTCTTCGGAAATTTCCAAGATTTTATTCGCTGTTTCTGGTGATAAACTTTCTTTATTACCACTAGTTCCAGATGATTCAAGAAGTAAATCTAATTTAGTTTGTAAAATTGGCAAATGTGACGGATAATGATCTTCCAATTCTGAAAATAAATCTTCTCTTGCCGTTGATTCCGCAGGAAACTTTTTCAAATAAGAAATTTGTATATCTCGAATTGCATCCGAAAGTTCATCATTGATTTTTTCATCTTTTTTTTCTATAGATTCAGATGGTCCTGAGTTACTAGTAGCTGGGCCTTTTCCATCTTCGCCTCCACCATTGGAAGAATCTTTAGATTTGGCAGGAGCGGGTGGAATCAACAAACTGATTTCATATTGTCCACCATCAATCTTGGAGTTGTTTACAAAATTCAAACGTCCTATTAATAAATCACCAGGTTTGCTATCCTTTGGATACACAGAATAATCATTGGGTGATGCAATGAATAGTGCTTGCCTTTCACCTTTTTCCAAATAACTTTTTACACCCGTTGATTTTTCAGCAGTGAAAACATCATGTATTTGGCCGTATACATCCAAATTAACCTTTTTGGTTAAATTATAATCCAAAAAGCACACTGTGTTATTCAATTTCTCTAATAATTCTTGCGATTGGTGACGAACTTGTGCACGAATGATATAATCTCCTTTAAATTCTAGTTTAAAAGTCTTGGCGTAAATATCTAAATAGCCGATAACTTTTTTATTTGCATCATATACTACATTAATGCAATAAAATTTCAAATAACAGTTAGTAAATAATTAAGTATTCGAATTATTTAATTACATTGTTTTTAGGAATATGTATATTTAAAAAACTTACATATTGCAAAGAAATCTTCAAAGTAAGAATCATACAGCAAATCAAAGAATGCAGGAAATTTTGGTGTAACGGACATATTCTTTTCAGGCGTAGAGAATTTATAAGTTAAGGTTAAAGCATGTGCTCTTCGAGAATCTGGAAGAACATCACGATCTATACCAAGTGGTTTTAAGGTTGATTCTGTTGGTCGAATTTCCTTACGGATGGTCTCTTTAAATTATAAAAATTTATTCAAATGAAGTAAACATTTTCACTGTTGTCATTTTTTGCTTATCATTGAAATTGAATTTACCTAACTGGATAGAAGGATTAATCCCTTCTTCTCGTCTAACAGGTGCGATAATATCCAAACGAGTAAATGAATCTCCACCGTTGATAAAAACACTTTTATTTCCACTTATGGCATTGTTTGAAATTTGAATACCATGGAAAACAAATTCTAATGATATATCGTGATTTCCAATGCTAGACCAAAATTGTGCCACGCAAATCTTTTTTTTTTTTTAAAAAAAAAAATAAAATGTGAATAAAAATTATCAACAGTTAAATTAACAAATACATAAATCACGAACCTCCATAGTTACACCACCACAAACAGCAAAGCTTTTTTTTTCAATTTGTTCATCCCCACTACCATCACCATAACTTCCTTTAGCAAAATAAAATGTATATTCACGTTCTTGATGTGTGAACCGTCTCAATGGCAACAATTGTATCATATGTAACCAGAAAAATGCAGGTGAGGTAACTTTATTTGTAGAAAATTTAAGCGTTACATCTTTCAAAAATATTAAAAATGAGTAGTGGTGATTAAAAAATTTTTATTGTATGTAAATAAGAATAATCATAATAATATAAATACCTGCATATGTAGCACCATCAGGAACCTTGATAAATCTTCTTTCAATATGACCAGGACCAAAAGTTAATTTGTCAAAGCAAGCTTTAGATCCGTTAGTTAAAATATTTGGCTTTGTAATAGTAACCGGTACTCGAAACAAGGGGCCTCGTTCTGGGCAAGTTGTATCATAACCCTGACAGAAAAGATTATATGATTAAAAATTCTTATGTTTATTTTAATACAAAATTGTAATAAATAAAATCGTCAAAGAAATTTACTTGAACTTCAGCAAAATAAAATCCACCAGGTGCCAAATTAGTTGGATCAACTTTTACATCAAATGATCTACCTATATAACGAAAATCAAATTTGATATTAGATGATCATGAAAAATATTAAAGATAAATAAAGATAAATAATGCTACATACCACCACTACCTAAAAACAAGAAATCGGTTGTTCTAACCCAGGTTTGTGTGCTAATTAAAGCCAATCTTCTTTCGAGCTCAAATTTCTTTTGGTTATTTTCTCCAGAAGTTGGGTCAATCTCTTTCATAAATTTAGGACTAATAAAAACATTAATAGTTTGCGGACTTGAAGTCTCGTATGATTCTCTCAAGTATATGCCGCGCTTACTTCTTGGTGTGTTTGAAATTTTGACCTAATTTAATATAATCATGGATATAATTAACTAAATCTGGATTGGAATTATACAAATTAGGAAAGCTATTTCGTATGTTTCTCACACCTCATAAACAACATCTTTATCTGGAACTTCGTAAAATTTTTCAAGATAATCCCATGTCTTTTCAACTTGTAAAAGTCCAACACCAAAATTTTCATTTATTTGTTTTGAACTATTAACAAGAGCATTTTTGATCATATAAGGCGAATATTCTCTATTTTCAGCCTTAAGACCTGATAAAAGTAATGCTACACATCCAGTTGCATTAGGTGAAGACCTATTGATAACATTTTGATTAATAATAAACTATAGATAAGATGTAATAAAACACAGTAAATCTTTATAAATACATGGAAGTTCCGTTCATCAATTGAGACTTTGTTAAGGAATAGTGTGGTGTAGATGTGATAGCACTGTTCGAATAAGATATATTTTATTTATAAATCAAACGAACTGTTTCAATCAAATATGTAAAAAAATATCCTACCCTCCAGGAGCATATATATCAACACCAATATCACCATCAGCACTAGGGCCTTGAGAAGACCATGTGTATGCGCGTTCAGGAACTGACTCAAGAAGCGCATATTCAGCTTGAATCATTGAATGACTAACATAGGCACCAACACCAATAATATCTAAAAAAAAAAAAAAAAAAAAACGGTTACTAGTCATAGCAAGGATCACAGAAATATAGTAAGTGTCGCAGCTGATGCTGAAAACGGCTGAAGCTGAAATTTGGGGTCTCGATTTAAAAATATAAGTCCTGCTAAAATCCACATATACTTGTTAATTATCAATTCTAACCCTAAACACTAACTCAACTATAAAAAAAAAGCGGGAAAAAAACACCCCAAAAAATTTTAAAAAATTCATATCAAAATAGATCCGAATTTCAGCTTCAGCCGTTTTCAGCATCAGCTGCGACAATAAGTAAAAAGAAATTTTACATACCACTAGAAGTACCACCAGGTGCACCATTTGTGCTTAAAGCAGGACCATTATTTCCAGCACTACTTATGAAAATACAACCATATTTTCCAATAACTTCATCGCGAATCAATTTAATGAAATGACCATAATCTGGTACAGATGTTGCTTCACCAAAACTCATATTAGCAAGATCACATTTAGTTTCTACGAGTGATATGGAAGTCCTTGCCAGTGCAGCACCAGTTTCCATACCATCTAATCGAGTGTCGCCAATTTTAAGTGAAATAATCTATAAAATTTTGGGTGATAACAAATATTAATATTTTAACGTTTTTTTTTATCACAAATACAAGTGTAATAAACAAGATACTTACTTGAGCGCCTGGAGCAACCTATAGAGATTACATCAATAAATAATAAAAATATATATGGTTTTCTTTTAAAGCATATGATGAATTAACAATAATTTATATTTGATTTCTAAACATTGAATACCCCGTTAAGAATAGGCTCATCTGGATGATATGCTGCAGAAATAGCAGCAACATGGGTTCCGTGA